TGAGCGTGGTGCTGACAACACCAAGTCAAGGGTTAAGATCCCCTTACCGGTCATCTTTAAAAAAAAAACAAAAAAAAACCCTGAAACTGGGTGATTTATAAAGAAAAGAAAATTTGTTGCTTACAGTTTCAGAGGCTGGGAAGTCCAAAGTCCACACCTGGTGAGTCTTCTTTGGTGGTGGCTTTACAGCAATGCAGGGGTCTCACATGGCAGAAAATGGTGCAGCAGAGAAATAGCTCCTCATGCACTCTCTTCTTAAAGCCTTCAGAACCCCTCCCATGACCACCATTTTTATTCCATTCACTAGGCATGGTCCTACAATCTAATCACCTCTTCAAGGCTCCACCTTGCAATTACCATAATAGGATTTCCCACCCTCTTAACAGTCACAGTGAGGATTAAGTTTTAGGGGGACATTCAACCCAAGACAGCCACTAAGCATTTACCACATACTAGCCGCTATTCTGTGTGTCAAGATATAGCAGGGGAAACAGACTCACAAACTCTCTTGGAGCTTACATTCTAGCAGGGTAGGAAGAGACAAGCAATAACCAGAACATTACTAAAGCAAGGTACTGTAATTGAAAATAATAAGCACTACAGAGAAGCTAACTAAAACAGAGTGTATTCGTTTGTTTTCTGTCACTTATAACAGAATACCTGAAACTGGGTAATTTATAAAGAAACGAAATTTACTTCTTACAGTTTTAGAGTCTGGGAAGTCCAAGGTCTGGGGAACATATCTGCTGAGGGCCTTTTTCTGGGTGATGACTCTCTACAGCGACACAGGGTGTCACGTGGTGAGAATGGTAAGAGCTCCATAATGTGCTCACTTGCTCTTCCTATAAAGCCAGCAGTCTACTGCCTGATAACCATTACTCCATGAATAGATCAATCCATGCACAAGGGCACAGTCCTCATGAACCAATCCCCTCTTAAAGGCCCCACCTTTCAAATACCATAATCGGATTTCCCACCCTCTTAACACTGTTACAATTGGGTTCAAGGTTCCGATACATGAGCTTTTAGTGGACACATTTAACCCATAGCACAGAGGAATATGCTGAAAGTGCCAGTTGCAGACGGGCTGGGATTTTCAATGGGCTTTAGTGAGGAGGAGACATTTGAGCTGAGATCCAAATGCTGAGAAGAGGCCATGCAGAAGTAGGGCTGGGAGTGTGGGAGTCAGGGAGGGCAGTGGGTAGAAGCTTTTCCAAACAGGAGGAACAGCAAGTGGGATGCTCTGAGCTGCGGATGAGTTCAGGTGAGGTGCTGAGAGGATACTTGCGGCTAGACTGAGGAACTGATGGAGAAGATTTCCAGATGAGCCTAGGGAGGGGGAGGGGCAGATTACAGAGGCTCTTGCCTGCCGTGATGCAAAGTTGGGATTTGATTCTAGATATATCAGGACACCAAGGTCAAGGGTTCAGATCCCCATACCAGCCTGCCACCAAAAATAAAATAAACATATCAGGAAGCCACTTGGTTGTTTTAGTTTGTTTTTTTTTAAAGATGACCGGTAAGGGGATCTTAACCCTTAACTTGGTGTCAGCACCACGCTCACCCAGTGAGCAAACCGGCCATCCCTATATGGGATCCGAACCCGTGGCCTTGGTGTTATCAGCACCGCACTCTACCGAGTGAGCCATGGGCCAAATATATCAGGACACCAAGGTCAAGGGTTCAGATCCCCATACCAGCCTGCCACCAAAAATAAAATAAACATATCAGGAAGCCACTTGGTTGTTTTAGTTTGTTTTTTTTTAAAGATGACCGGTAAGGGGATCTTAACCCTTAACTTGGTGTCAGCACCACGCTCACCCAGTGAGCAAACCGGCCATCCCTATATGGGATCCGAACCCGTGGCCTTGGTGTTATCAGCACCGCACTCTACCGAGTGAGCCACGGGCCGGCCCATGGTTGTTTTAGTTTTGTGGTAAAATATACATAACAAAATTTCCCATTTAAACTGTTTTTAAATGTACAGTTTAGTGGCATTAAGACATTCATATGGTTGTGCAACCATCACCACCATCAGTCTCTAGCACTTTTGCATCCTCCCCAATTGAAATTCTGTATGCGTGAACACCCCCCACCCCCCCGCCGCCCCAGCCCCCGGCAACCACCATTCTCCTTCCTTCCATCATGAATTTGACTACTCTAGGTACCTCATGTAAACCACTGGGGGGTTAAGCAGAGTGTTAAGGTGATCTGATTTGCATCTGCTCAGAGAATGGTCTGCAGTAGGGCAAGCAGAGGCAGGCTGGAGATGGAGAGTGGCAGATGGGCTGGAAGTGAACGCTGGCAGGGAAACAACAGGACTGGATGTGGGGGCTAAGGGCATCAGAGGAGCCCAGAATCGTGATTAGCTTTTGGCTGAGTGAGGAGGAGAAAGGAGAAGCCAGTTCCTGGGGTGGCCCTGGGGGTGGACTGCGGCATTTTAGAGCTAGAAGGAAGCTCTTGGAGCTGTCTAGTTCAGTGCTTTAAGCAGGGTTTGGGGAGC